AAGTACTTTACATACTTTAGTCATCTAATCTATAAATAGGTCTTATTCCCTGAGGCTCAGGACGAAAAATAGCACCAGCAAGAGCCCAGAGAATGTGAGAGTGCATGAGGGGCTAAGGTCAGAGAGGACAGACTGGGCAGGGAGGGGGGCAGGGGTGGAGCCAGGAGAACAGAAGAAGATTCCAGGGGTAGGAAGAGCAATGAAAGATGAGCCAGGAACATCAGGCTGTGCTCAGATTCCAGTCAATGAGTGAATTCCAGATGTCTATTACTGTACAACAAACTACCCTAAATTTAGCGGCATAGGACAACCTTTTTATTACGTTCTGGATTTGGAATTATTATTATTACTGTTATTATTTTTTTTTTTTTTGCTACATGTATCAATTAAGAATTCAGAATTTTCTGTTCCATGATGTTTGAGGCCTCATTTGGATATACTCAGAGGCTGGAGGTGGCTCAGTACTGGGGCTGGAAATATGTTAAGGCTCATTTACTCACATTTTTGGTTGTTGGCTTAGCTATTGGCTGAGCTCTTAGCCAGGGTTTTTGGCCAACGTGACTGGAACACCTTTCACGACCTCTGCATGTAGTGACACTACCTTCCAGTGCTGTGGCTGAGTCCTAAGCACAAATGTCTCAAGAGAACAAGCTGTAGTACATGGCAATTCACTCCACCAACTGGGGCAGTGAAGTTCCATCCAAAGGCAAGAAAAAAAGCACACAGATCCCACCACTCATTGGAAAAGCTGTAAAAGAATTTGGGACATATTTTATAACTACTGCATAGTCAATGAATCAGGTCATTAAATAAGGAGAGAGCTTTCATTTTATGGAAAGCTAGCCTACCAGCACCGAGCTGATATCCACTGCTATATAACTTCTTCATGTACAATATGTGGATTAGCATTATCTGCTCTTGCAAAGTTCCCCTTCACATTTTCATTTTCTCATTTCATTTTTCCCTTTATGTAGTCTACCTTACTTCCCTATTTTACAACTTTATATAAGAAGAGTCAAGTTTAAAGGAGTCATATGGGAGTACTTAATGATTTTTACAGAAAAATACCTATAAAATTCTAGCAAATATATAATGGAATAACACATAACAGAATTTTATATTGGAGAGAATTCTCATTCTGGTGCCTCAAGAGTTGGCTGCATCTTTTGGACTAGCATCATGTATAATATTTTTAATTGTACTCAGTGTTATTTCAAAATTGGCACAATTTTTTAAAATGACAGATTCACAGAGTTCAACGGAACCTCCTGAGGAAGGTGAACAGCTAAATCTTCCAAGACAGATGGATAACTATGGGCAATATTTAATCTTAATAGCAAACCAGGTTGACTTATGACAAGCTCCTGGCTTGAAAGCAATACTTAGGGTAACACAACTTTGCTGAGCTAAATGTTTACAGACAGTGAAGAACAACAAGGTAGCTAAGCAGCAGCATTATTGTGAGCCAACACTTAAAGCATTCCCGAGAGCACTTGATTAGATGCTTTGATTATATTTTCAATTGGGCCTACAAATGGTTCTTTAAAGAGTAACTCAATAACACAATCACTGTTCAATTATGTTTCACTATTATTCATTAATTCATTTATTCCACAAATTTTGTCGACAGGCTACTATAGCCAACTTTGAGCTAGTCTCTGAATGCTAGCAGCAAACAGTTCTAAAAGTACTTTAGAAAGATTTGAAGAAAGATTGTTCTTTAATGATTAATCCTGACTGGAGAAAAATACCTTGAGTTTGCATAAGATGCATTGTTAGAAGCCAAATGAATAAGTGTATGAAAATCTAAGAATAATACCTGGCACAAGCAAGAGCTCAATGCATGTTTATCTACTATTATCATTTAGCTGAAAACAGTAACTCAAATTCTCTCAAGTTTCCATATTCATTTTCACTATATTTCTTGAATGAGGTCAGAGATTAGTAAAATACTAAAAATGACATAGTAGAAAAGAAATGGCAATTCCCATTTCTAGTATGAACTAGATAATATCAACTAAGTTTCTTTTTGAAGACAACTAGAAAAACATATTTATTTAAAACTTTGTTTGTGGCCATCAGATAACCAGTAAGGCAAAGAAAGAGGTCAAAATCCAAAGGAAGGCAGAAACTGGAGAGGCACTAAGGTTGTTTTCCTCCTAGTAATGTCTGCTGATTCAGGGAAAGACAATTAAAAGTTTGATACCCTGGGCAGTTTCTGACAGCCTTCTGGGTCTAGGATGATAAAACGAAGACAAGGAAGGCCTTGATAATCCATCATGTTTTGGTTAGACTTCTAAAGGGCTACTTTAGAGAAGAAAGGATGAACTTGAAGTGGATTAGCTCACAAAGATTTTTGAAGTCCAAAGGCAAATAACATATGAAATTGCTTTAAAGAGTTCAGAGATTATTGGTGCCCTAGTTTCTGTCTAAAGCTAATATAAATTCTCTCTGGGGAAACACGGCCATTTTTTTAGGTACTAAATACTAGTACAATGTTTATGATACATGTCTTCTAATGAAAGTTAACCAGGCATATGAAGAGACAAAAAACCAAGAGAAGTACTGTACAATTGAATCAGATTTACACAGACTTCAAATAATAAGCTATGAGACATAGACTTACATATTAATAAGCTATGAGACATAGACTTACATAGACTTACATATTTTACAACCTTACATATTGAGATTTTGGGCAGATAACTTATAAATTATAGAACTCAAAAATTAAGAACTCAAAGGATAGACTGTAGGGTAGATTGCAGGTAGTTGAAAAGAGAATAAATAAAGTGGAAGATAGGTTAGAAGAATATACCAACAGTAAATTTTGGAGTGAAAATAAATGAAAAATTTCTAGGTAAGCATAAAAGACATAAGAGACACATCAAGAAAGTATTACATACAAGTAATAAGAGTCTCAGAAGGCAAGCACAAATGGGTCAAGAGAACTATTTGACAGTATAGTTGGCATAAATTTTCAAAACTGATGATCTTTCAAAAGAAAGAATGGAAACTAGAAGTTAATGGAATGATATTTTCAAAGTGCTGATAGTAAATACTTGCCAATCTATAATTCTAAACTAACAAAAATATTTTCTTGAAATATTAATATTAAATACTGTTATTTAAGAGAAAAGTGAGAGAATTAATCACCTCTACTCCATTGCTATAAGAAATATTAAAGGGAGATTGTCTCACAGAAGAAAAATGATTCCAGAAGCAAGGTTGGTGACAACAGAAGGAATAAAAAACAATGAAAATCAGAAAATAGGAGACTAGGAATTTTGTAGGAGTTTTGAAAACAAAGGTTTACAGCAAACAAGTATGCCTAATCAAGAAAAAAATTCTCAAAACCTTAGGAAAGCTCTGTGACACTTTTACTCATCCTTGGCCTTCACCTCTCTGATGTGGTGGCAACTCTCTTGGTCATCAGCAGCAGCAACCAGTTCCCAGTTCCATGACTTGAACCAAAGGGAACAGAATAGACATTATTTGAAAGTCATTGTGTACTCTGTGCCCACACGACTGACTCATTTCTGTCTTGTATAACTTGAAAGGTAGGTTGAAAAGAAAATCTAAAGCCACCATAGCAAATCTAAAGCCCGGGGAAAAGCTAAGGTGCGACTCTAGAACATTCAAAGGCAACTATGCATATGGACGACTAGAAGTTAGACACATGCTCATATAAGATCCAGTCTCAGAGAAGTCTTTAGAAAACCTTAAGTCTTCACCTGAGGATGATCCCTAGACTCAGAACAAGCAGAGTTAATCTGTGAAGGACTGCCCTAGCAGTCATCTGCAAAGGCTGAGTTGTTCTCTCCTTGCTACCCGCCCTCACACTCTTTCTCTTTCTCTCTGGCTAGTTTGATAAGAAAAAATGAGTGAAGATTCAAATAAATAAAATCAGAAATATAAATGGGGACATTTCTACTGATTTTACAGAAATACAAACAATTATAAAAATACTATAAACAATTATATACCCATATGTTGGATAAGCTAGATTTTGAAATGGAAAAATTCATAGAAATATTCAGCCTATCAGGAATAAATTTTGGTGAGATAGAAAGTCTGAATAGGCCTGTAATTAGTAAAGAGATTGAATCATCAAATTAAGAACCTCCCAACAGAGACAAGTGCAGGCAAAATAATCTTTATAGCAATAAGCATTACTAGAGATAAGTGGGATAGTTTATCATGAAAAAAGTTCAATTTAAAGAAATATAATTTAAATTGTGTATCAAAACACAACATATATCAATAAATATATAATATATACACCATATATTTTATAGCATTGTTGCAAACATTTTCAGAACTGCAAGGAAAAACAAATGCATAGGGGCCTCCCCGGTGGCGTAGCGGTTGCGCGCTGGGTTGTGAAGCGGCCCACGGCCTCCGCAGCGCCGGTTCGATCCCCAGCTGCTCCCCGTGCCACCGGAGGAGGATCCCACATGGCGCGCAGACCCCTCCTGCCGCCCGCTGCTCCGCTCAACAGTGTACTTCAGTCCTTCTGCCTGCTCTGCGCCCCGCTCTGGCTCTGGTGAATTCTCTCACCCTCCCGCGCTTCTGACTGTACCCAGTGCTTGTATAAACAAATAAAATAAAAAAAAAAAAAGAAAAAAAACAAATGCATAGTCATAAATTTTAACATACCTTGCTCAGCAGTTAACCCAACTAATATCAATCTGCTTGTAACAATGCTGCAAAATCAATTTGTCACAAAAAGTCAGTAAGAATATAGGAAGCTTGAACAACACAATAAATTTGATCAGGTTGCTTATATCAAACAATGAACTTAACAACTGTGGTATAGACAATTCTAAAGGTCTATTTTAGGAAAGAAGAAATTAGAGAAAGAACAGTAAGTTATACCCAATAAGAACAGAAGGAAAGAAATAATAAGAATAAAAGTAGAAAATAATGAAACAGTCAAAATTGTAAGACAGATTCAACAAAACAATCAATTCTTTCATACAAACAAAATTGGTGAGATTAATCAAGGAATAAGACATGACATACATTCTCATGATCTAGAATAAAATGAGATGTTACTCCAAATCTAGCTCTGACAAAGGATATTACAAACAACTTTATTTGAAAATTTATATGGAGTCAATTCCTAGAAAAATACAACCTACTAAAATTGACAAAAGGAGAAATTTGAATAGTGCTGTAATTATGAAATAAATGGGTGAAATAAACTTTAAATTTTCCATATAGAAACCTCCAGCTCAAAATGGCTTCATTGGAGAACTCAAACAATCATCTAAAGAATTAATACTGCCAATATTATGCAACACTTTGTGGAGAATGGAAAAAGAGAGCACATTTTTCAACTAATGATATGAGATTAATAAGACAGAACAACTCAACAAAAAAGGATTCAGACTCTATGAAAGAAAATATCAATTGGCCAATAAACATGTGAAACTCTACTTAACCTCCTAATCATCAAGGAAATGCAAATTAAACCAAAATAAGATATTATTACAGAACCATCAGAATGGCTAAAATTAAAATGACTTATAGTACCAAGTGTTGACAAAGATGTAGAACAATTGTAACTCTTATACACAGCACTCATGAATGTAAATTAGCACAATCATTTTGGCAAGCTGATAGTATTATCTAAAGCTGTACTGTTCATATATAGCAGTTAATAATCAACATTTGCTTATTGAGCATTTGAACTATAACTATTGCTATAAATGTAAAATATACATTAAATTTTGAAGATTTAATATTTTTTTAAAAATGTAAATATCTAATCAATTATTTTCATATTGATAGCATGTTGAACTGATAATATTTTAGATTTATGGGTTAATAAACTATATTATTAACATTCATTTCACTTTTAAAACCTTTCTTAATTTGGTTACTAGAACATTTTAAATTCCACATGAGACTTCCACTGTATTTCTGATGAACAGTACTGATCTAAAGCAATGATCCATTCATTTTACTCTTCAGGATATTGCCAACAAAAATGTGTATGGATGTTCACTAAAAGTCAAACACAAGAATATTCATAGTGCTGTTATGCATAATTAATAGTAAAAAAAAACTGGAAACCACTCAAATGTCTTTCAAGAGTGGAGTGAATAAATTGCAGTGTGATTATAAGTGAAGTACTATTTAGCAACAAAAATAAATGAACTATAGCTATTTACAACAACAAGGAGGACTTTCACAGTGTTGTGAAAAAGCATTACATTTTATTCCATTTATGTTAAAGTTTAAAAATGGGGAAGTTAGATACATATTAGATACATATTAGAAGTCAGAATAGTTGTTACCTTTGGAGAGAATGGCTGGGAGGAGATTTTAGAAAACTGACAATCTATACTAGGGGTAGGGTGGTGGTTACATGGATTTTTGCTTTGTGAGAACTAATTGAGCTGTACATTTATGTACATTATAATTGTGCAGTTTTCTGTAAGTTTGTTATTCTTCACTACCACCATCACCAACACAATAACAAAACAGAAGGATTAGTGAAACTCACACTAATTTGTTGCAAATTATTTTAATAAATGGAAGACCCTCTTGATAATAAAACTTCTTGTGATTGATCTAACGATGTAAATTGCAGAAAAGCAAATTAAGAGTTTTTTTAAATATTGCTAAGTAAGGAAATCCTGATACTTTCTAAATAGTTCCAGGTATAAAATTAATATCTCTCCGCCATTTGCTTGGATACTCACTTGCCCTGACTGTGCATTTCCTGGAAAAAGTGTCAATAATGTGACAAAAATAAAATCTAGAATCTCAGAATTGCAAAACTGAAAGTGGTAATGTGGCTTAAATTTTTTTGAGTTGTGATTTCTTTGTGAATCTGATGGAATCTATGACACTTTCAATCAAAAATACATACACACGGGCTTCCCTAAGTGCAAGGAACACTTCCACTATAAAATGAACCTATGTTGAATTAAGGGACAAATAAATATCTGGCTGAAACTTCATATTAGAACTGTATCCCATCCCTATAGGTTATTAGGAACTCAGATTCTGGTGCAGACTGACTTAAAAATGAATCCAACCTCTGCCATTTACTGCCTGTATATTGCTGAGTGCATAACTTAACCTGAATCTCTCTTGGTGAATCTGATGGTACCAAACATACTTCAAAAGATCTTTGTGGGAATTAAATATATTAAGCAGTGTCTGGCACATAGAAAGTAGCTAGCTATGACTGATGTCATAGCATACGCAATCCTGGATGAAAAACTTGAGGAACACAGACTTAGAATCTTAGAATCTGTCTGGTTAACCAGTCCAACAGACCCAGGAACTATTTATACATTGTTCTAATAGATTCTGCTTTTGCTTAACCTCCCAATCACAGGCAACTCACTAGAACCAACTAAAGAAGTTCCAATTTTTCCAAAAGTTCTTTCTCCTTAGGTTGAAACATACAAGATTGCTCTTCATAGGCTGAAATAATTGAAATATCAACAAATTCTAATCAAATCACCCAAAATTAGCCTCTTATATCCTTTCAATTTAGTTTAACATCCACTCTCTCCTTCTCTATGACAGTACTTTAGAGATAACAGGGAATCAGAGGTGACAATGCCTAGCTCCTGTCTTCATTGAGGCTTATATGCTTGTTAAGGAGATACTAAGAATAAGTAATTATGTGTAACTTTCAGTCTCAAGCACTGGAAGAAGAATGTGTCAAGCAAAGGGTTTAGCAGAGCCTGTTTCCACAGATCATATAATGAGGACTTGGTTGTTGAGAGCAGCACTGCCCAACTGAACTTTATGTGATGGTGAAAATATTCCATATCTGTACTTTGAAATATGCCAGTCACCAGTCACATATGGCTACTATGCCCTAAAATGTCACTAGTGTCATAGGATTCAAGAAATGTAATTTTTTTTTTTAGCTTTCGAAAATGAGAAAACGGTTTATTGTCACAGGACAGTTATCTCGGACTGTGCTCCCTCTGACAGTTTTTCCCACTGAGAAACAGCTTGTTTGGACAATCGCAGACATTCAATAAAGAAGAACACGGAAGGCCATTTCTAAATACTTTCTAACACCAGAAATGAAAAGCATTGGGGTGCAGTGGGGGGAGCACATATTTACATCTGGAAAGTGGCAAAAAGCAAGAGCTGCCGGTTCCCCCTTCACCAAGACTGAGCATCCAGCCCCCACGGGATGGACTGGGAAGCCAGGCAAGTGTCCAAAGCCCCAGGGCCCAGAGCAGGCTTCTGAGGGACAGAGAGCTCATGGGACTTGACCAGTTTCACTAATCCAGGGAAAGCTCTGACTCCTGCTCCCAGGGACAGCCTCCATTTGAACTGGTGATGGGAGCTCAATCACCAACATATAATAATGGTGACCTTGAAGAAACATAACATGGAGAACGAGGAACATCAGGAGCCCCCACTGCCACCAATTTCTTCTCACAGCTTTCGTGGGCCCCCCTCCAACAAATCTCTTAAAACACAGCATCCTGCCAGGTAAAGGTTAATACCGGCCCCGAGGGACTGTCCTGGAGGAGGGCCGACACGGCTTCAAGTGTGTTGTGGCAGGTCTTCAACTCCTCGTTCTAAGCTCTGATCTGCAGATTTCAAGATTACACTACAGCATGATACTTCCCCCTCACGAAACCATAGCTTCGTGGAAAGGATTAATATAGCATTTGTGCCAAATTATTTAAAGATATGTGACTCGCGAGCAAAACATTATCATCAGCTGATCCATGAAGAGAAAGTCGCTCCACGCCCGACAGAAGCCTCCAGAAGACAGTGTCTCGTCTGCGGTGCCCACCAGGCGTCTACAGTTAGGCAACTTCAAATATCTGCGATCAAAGCAATGTAATTTTAATTTAACTTCATTTAATTCATTTAAATCTAAATAGCCATACCTGCCTAGTGGCTATGGATTGAACAGAGCAGTTACAACATCACAGGAGACAGGAGCAAGAAATGGGGCTGGAGAAGTTAGCAGGGTCCATCATCCAAAGTCTTGAGGAGAATGTTAACAATTAAGAGCCGCTGAGAGTGTCAGTAGGATTTTGAACTCCAGGCAATAACATGATCAGGTATGAGTTTTAGAAAGATAATTCTGGCTGTCTTGTGTAGATATAGGAAATGGGTGGAGACATTGATCTTGATTTTAAGAGTTTATAAGGAGAGCAATGATACAAAAAGTAAAGTGATTCAAGAATACCTTGAAACAATGAAGTCTATAACTAATCACACTCAGTCACACATAACACTCATGTTTTCACATACATTAGACACAATATTTGTTAACCATAATTATCCACATATCTTGCGTTTTTTACTAATTGCTCATAAGACATCTAGCTTCCTCACGGGCATCAGAGCTCACAGGTGAGTCTATTAACAAAGAATCCATGAAGCACCCACCTTGTTCTTCCTCCTCTCTGTAAATTTTATTCTGTTCTTATGGTCCTGTCCACTGAGGCCACTTTTGATGGTGACCATGTCAGTCATCCTGATGCTCTCAAAGTCATTAATGCTGAGGTAACCCAGAGGTGCTGATTCTCTGCAGAGGAGGAGGAAGAGGAAACCTGGCAACCTAAGCCACCCCACAAGCCTCACCCTCCCCTTTATCCCCAAAGTATTTTTCTTAACCAGTTATTTTTTTCACCTCTCTCCCCTCCTCTAAGTACTACCTATGGGGTAAGACAAAACAAAACAAAACAGAATGAGAGCAATCCCTAGGAACTGATGGTGATAAACTACCAGAATATATATAATATATTATATAATATACAATATTATATATTATATACAATATATTATATTAACATTATATAATATAATTTTATATTATATATACTATAAAATATAATATAGACACATATATATTGTGTGTGTGTGTGCAGGTACATCACACCCCTTCACGTGCTACCTGATACACACTATATGAAAACACACACACCTTATGCACATAGACTTTAATTCCTAGCACTTCTGCTAACATAACCATATAAGGCTGAAACCTCCTCAGCCTAATGTGACTAGTGAAGCATCAGCCTAAGCATCAGCCCTATTCCATGTATGTTCCCACAAAAGAAATCAACAAAGAAGTGTATAAACAGTCACGACCCATCACAGTCAGATATAATGTATATGGAGCTACAGTAAGAGAATAGCAGGTGTGAAGTGCATGGACTTTGGTGCCAAGACCTTTGGATTCAAATATGAGCCTGATTATTTTTACTAACTGGATGATCTTAGACGATCACTTAACCTTTGTCAACCTCAGTTTTCTGTTCTATAAAATATCTGCTTTGGAAAGTCTGTAAAAATCAGAAATGGCATATATACGATGCCTGATATCCAGAAAGGTCTCAATAGAGAGAAGCTGCTATTACTACCTTGGTGTCGGGACATGAACACTCAGGATGCCACAGGTCCTGCAAAGGGAAGGCAGAATAAAGGCCAGAACGCTCCCACATCCGGATGCAAAGCACTCGGATGGTTTTAAATTACAGCCTAGAGTCTACCTACTGATTACCCTGAAGCCAGAGACAGGAAGTGACTCCATAAGTCCACACAGCAAGTGAGTGAGAACCAGGACAAAATTTCAGGTAAGTCTGGAAAGGTCCAACCTAGTGGTCTTTTCGGCAAAGGCAGTGGCCTCTCAGCTGCCAGGCTCTGCCCTGCCGAGCCCCTGCTTCGCTCTGATGGACCCTCCTCTGTACCTGGGCGTGTCCCCTCCCATGACTGGCAAAAGGGAAAAGCGCAGAGGTGAGCTTCCAGTGACCGTCGGGCTGGACCCACATCCCGTCGTCATGGCAACCCCGGTTAGCCTAGGAGGACCGGCGGCTCTGGCGCCCCCGCCCACTCACGCAGCGGACGTGACACGTGCGACGGGGTCACGTGTTGTTGTTGGGCCGCGAGAGCTGCTTCCGGGTCAATGGAGGACACTGGGCTCCGGCGGCCGGAGTGGGGGACGAGGTGAAGCGGAGCCGGGCCGGGCCGGCCGGGACCAGGCCGGAGGCCGAGCGGCGGCGACGCCGGTGGCCGGGAGGGGGGAGGAGAGGCGCCGCCCGAGGAGCCGCCGCAGCAGCTCCCCCGCCTCCCGGGCTGAGGGGTGAGTGGAGCCCGGGCCTGCCGGCTCCGCCGGGCTCTCGAGGCCCAAGGCGCTCCCCTCCGGGGCCGAGCGCCGCTCCTGCGGGGGCGCAGTGTGGGGAAGGGCGGGGAGGACCTCGGAGCGGGTTGGAGCCTGCCCGGGAGAAGGGGAGGGACGGGAGACAGGGCTGGGGCTGGAGGGCGGCCGGGGCCTGGGCTGGGGCGGAGCGGGGTAGGCCCTGGGCCAGGGTGGGGAGTACTGTCCATGGTGGAGGAGGGAAGGGGGTGCTGAGTCGTTGGGAGAGTCCTGCCTTCTCTCTGGGCCCAGGGGCGGCGGTGGAGGGGGTGATGGGAAGATGCTTCCTGGTTGGCAGGAGATGGGAGGCGAGTCTGGGGCTGCTGAGGAAATAGGACATTTGTCTCTGAACCACTGAACCAAAAACGAAAAAAAAAAAAAAAATGACAAGGTGGGGTGGTGGTCGGGAAAGGAGCCAGTGGGCATTAGGCCTGCCCCTTCCAGGCACTGCTAAAAGCATGTGGTAATTTAAAAAGGACTTTTGTGACGATCTCTACGCCAACTCAGGAGATGCTGAGGAATGAGATTGGATAAACATGGGGCCTGGGAGGAGGTTATCCTGTCCTGGGATCTGTGTGGAGCTTCATATTCTGATGAGTATAGAATTCTGGTTCCTCTCCTAGGACGATATCCTGGGAATTGGTAAAGAGAGGAGATTTAATACTGTCTTCTCTTGATTCTAGAAGTTGTAGTTAAGAAAAGTTTCTTGGAAGAGTTCTGTTTACAGTCGCTGGAGGAAGGAGGGGCCCTACTCTGAAGGTTGCTAAGCTACAAAGGAGCTTGTAGGCAATGCCTGGGACTGTTGTTTGGGAAAGTTAGCAATCCTTTCAGGTCCAAATAATGGTTTAGCTGAAGGCTGCCCCAGATCTTTTTATGTTGCTCTGGAGTTCTTGAATTGGTTTCCAGAAGCTTATGAGCAAAAAGATTACTGTACTTGTAGGTGCTAGGGACTAATGGAAACATCCAGCCCTTGGGTCCTTTAGGCTTTAGATCTAGACTTCCAGGTCTAGCTTTCAAACTAGGTAGCTTTATTATTATTTTTAAAATGACCTCCATAGTAGTACATTTTACATCATGATCTGGTACATACCTGCATGGGGAGGAAAAGTACAAGGCAATATTTACCCTTATTACATGTCCTGCATTTTGATCATTTCTACTCTATTCCATTCTCTTTCACTAAAACATGCTGACTAAAATTCACTAAATTGATTTATGGGTCACAGCTTGCAGTTTGTAAAGTACTATCTCCAAGGCACTTTTCTTTCCCTGTAGTGTCCCCATGTTGTATGCTTCTAGAGAGCAAGGATGGTTGTAAGAAAATGGATGCTTAAGGGGTGGAGGGGAAGAACCAACCAGATGCAGTTGACTGCTTCAGTTGTTTATGTATTTATAATATGTAGCATATGTAGTGTCTTCTAAAGTACCTTAATCTTGATGTTTGATATCTAATATTGCCTGATCGTATTTTGACATTTTTGAAATGCGTTTTTTAATTTTCTACATCCTTTGCTGTGGATAATTCCATTTAGTGATTTATCCTCATAAGGAAGTTAAGGTAATTTGATGTTTCAGTGTCGTAAAGATACATTGATTTGTTTTTCTGCTATTTAAAAAAGTCTGATGCTGAAACCTAAACTTGTTACTCCAGTAATTATTATCTGGTCTACTTTTTGATGCATTAGTACATATTTTAACTTACTCATCAACTTAACTTTGACCTAACATCTTAATTGCCCCCATGAAAATGATATTTCCATCATAAAAGAGTTGATGTCCTTAGATGAGTAGTATCATAATATATGTTAATGAGAGTTGGTGAACGAAGTGAGAGGTCTGCATGTGTTACTCTATTTAAAACCCTCTTTTAAAGTCGTAGCTCAGCCTATTGCTACAGGATGTTGAGTGTCAAATGATGTGGTGTGATGTCAGTAAGTAAATTTATAGGATATGTATTTAAGACCAGTTTATAGTAGTGCTCATTTTTGTTGGCGATGCATTCATATTATCTGAATACGGCAATTCAGCAGCCAAGATATGAGGAAGAGAATTACTCAAGTTAAACTTAATCTGTGGGGCCCCATGATTGCTATTTCATGAAAGCATTCTTACATCTTCAAAGTTTGTGCTTTACAAAATATGTCTTTCTTAATATTTGTGACTGTATCCTGTCTGTTGATAAGAGGAGGCTATGTTGGCCTAGATCAGCCATCTTTTCAAATTATATTTTGATCAGGTAAATGTTTGTTTTAAAATATTTAGCTTTAAAGGATGTTTAAAAGTTTTCTTTTCATGGTAGGTATTTGGAATGTTAATGAAGATTCTCATTAATTTTATTTTCTGGGAAGCATGTGTACCTGTCAATAAAAATTTGTGGCGAACCTATCCTGAGTGATTGTGTATGCTTTTTTTGTTTCACTTCTTTTCTTGAACCTGAGACTGTTGAATGTCTGCCTATAGCAGGCTCTTTGCCCTCTTCTAATTTTTTGCTTCCAGACTGCTGTGGGTTTGGAAATGAAATACTTAACATTTGTTAGAATTTTGTATAAAATGAGATTGTGTAACTCTGAATAACCTTTCATTTCATTCAAATACATGGACACATATGTAGAAATACATTTTTTTTCTTAACATATGAGCTATGTGACATGTAGTTTGGCTACTCAGAGGTCTTTTTACTGACTTGGTTTAGACCTTGGCTGTGTTTTTTATTTTTTGTTGTTGTTGCTTATTTAATGAAGTATAACTGATCTGTATTTTGTTACTTTCAGGTGTACAGCATAACAATTTAACCTTTGTATACAGTCTGAAGTGATCACCACAATAAACATTTTCCATTCATCCTTAGCAGTTTTTCAAATTACTGTATTATATTGTCTATGGACCCCATGCTATACACCACATTCCTGTGACTTGTTTATTCCATAAATGGAAATTTGTGCCTTTCTATCTCCTTCACCCATTTCACCCATCCCCAAGCCTTCTCCCTCCTGATATGCAGCAATCTGTTCTCTGTATCTATAAGATTGGTTTTGTTTTGTTTGGTTATTTGTTTAGTTTTTGAGATTTCACATAGAAGTGAAATCGTAACAGTGTTTGTCCTTATCTATCTTATTTCACTTAAAATAATACCCTCAAGGTCATGTATGTTATTACAAATGACAGATTGTATTCTTTTTTAATATTATTCATGTGAGAGAGAGAGAAAGAGAGATCCTTTATCCATTAATCTATCAATGAATACTTAGGTTGTTTCCATAGCTTGGCTATTGTGAATAATATTGCAGTGAACATAGGGGTGCCTATATCTTTTTGAATTAGTGTTTTCATTTTCTTGGAAAACACCCAGTAGTAGAATTGCTGGATCATATGGTAGCTCTATTTTTAATTTTTTAAAGGAAACTCCATAATATTTTCTATAGTGACTGTAAAAACTTGCATCCCCACCAACATTGCATAAGGATTCCCTTTTCTCTACATTCTTGCCAACACCTGTTAAGTGTGTGTGTGTGTGTGTGTGATGATAGCCATTTTGACAGGTGTGAAGTTGGTAGTTGTGATTTGCATTTCTGTGATTACTAGTGATGTTGAACATCTTTTCATGTGCCTGTCGACCATCTGTATGTTTTTGGAAAAAATTGTCTATTCTTATCCTCTGCCCATTTTTCAATGTTTGTTTCTTTGTTATTGAATTGTATGAGTTCTTTATTTTGGTTATTAACCCTTATTGGATATATGATTTGCAAATATTCTATTCAGTAGGCTGCCTTTTTTCTTTGTTGATGATTTCTATCATTGTGCAGAAACTTTAGTTTGATGTCCCATTTGTTTACGCTTGCTTTTGTTTCTCATGCCTTTGGAATCAGATACCAAAAAATCATAACAGTCAAGGAACTTACTGCCTGTGTTTTCTTCTAGGAGTTTTATGGTTTCAGTTCTTATAACCAGGTCGTTAATCTATTTTAAGTTCATTTTTGTGTATGGTGTGAGGTAGTTGTCCAGTTTCATCCTTTTGCATGTGGCTATCCAGTTTTCACAGCACCTTCCACTGAAAAGTCTGCTTTATCCCCATTCTTGTCTGCTGTATGTTTTAAATAAGCTATAATCTATATCTTCACATTTTGGGGGCCAAGTAAGCTGTGTAAGAAGTTCTAAAGAGTAATGTGAAATTGGGATGCAGTTTGAAGAGTGCACCTTAAAGAATGCATTCTTAAAGAATAAAGAAATCATTTAGCTTGATTGTTGCCTTTGCCCTACATGCAATTACTAAGATTTACCATTTCTCCCTTTTTCATCTTTTCTTCTATCCTATTTTGACTTTTATTTCTTTGAGATTAGAATGCAACAGCCTAACTATCTTCTTTGTCTGTTATTCATGTTCTGCTTGATCTTGCATAGCATTGTCAGAATACACTTCCAAAGAATATTGCTATGATTTATCATTTTTCTCCTCAAAAGCCATTACTTGCTTCCTAGCATAATATGGTCTTTATATCTAAAGCCCATACCATTTAGGTTGAATTGAGGGCCTTTTACAGCCTTTACTTTTTCTCTAACATTGCTGTTTCAGACATAATTGCAGATCCTCTGTTCCTGCTTTGTACATGACATTATTCTTGAAAGTCTGCAGGAAATGTTTTCTCTTTATGAAATTCCACTCATCATTTTATTACAAATGACCCCTCTTCTTGAAGTCTTTCTTGTACTTTTCCTATATTGTTTGTGAACCTTGTTCTTACCCTTGTAGATTACAAACTACAAGATAGGAGATTCAAATATCTTCAGGTCTCTAGGACACCTAGCACAACATTAATAAATGTCTAGTTCAGGGACCAAATGAATCAGAATTGACTGAATTTAGGATAAAAATTGTATATCTCTGAATTCTACCCTGAACATACTGAACCAGAATTTCTGATGAAGCCCAGGAATCTGTCGATAGACCA